TTATTATCAGTCTCATTTGATCTTCACAGGCTTCTATTTAACAGAGGGGGCTCAATGGCTTAAAGCACAGACCAGCTTCAAACAGCTAGTAAATGGCAGAGCTGGAGCTGGAGCTCAGATCTTCTGACTCCAAGTCCAAAGGAGGCCTAGATGTCTGGATGCCAGAAATGAGAACCCTGAAGAAGGGAAAAGCAGAGTGAGGACTTCTTAAAGAAGAGGCAGATGGTGGGGGATTTGCACCCTTCACCAGGGGGTTCCCTCAGGGTGCCCCCAGGTGTACCTGGATTTCAGTTTTCTTGTCCCTATCTTAGTTACATTGAGCCCCATATGGGACAATCTTCTTGGTGACCTGGAATGGCGATATGTTCTAACACCTTCCCCCAGAATATTCACGATTATGTTGTTTTACATATACCTAAAAGACAAAGAAGATCTCCCTTCAAAATTTCTAAGAACAATCTTCAAATTATACCTACATAGAACAAGTTATGATCCTGGAAACACTTACCCTCATTTTTCCTATTTTTGACTACATACATGACATTTGATTTTTTTTTTCCTTGGAAAACAATTGATAACTATCCCTGTTCTAGTCTTTTGAAATTCAGGGCAGTAAGTTTTAAAAAATAATATAAAAATATGTAAAAAAGCCTATTTCTACATCTTTTTCTGGGGAAAACACTGCAAAACAGAAAGATTCTTATACATTGTGCCAACTTTATAAATCACACATATGTATAGCTTTAAAAATACAAACATTAGAGAAGTATAAATAAGACAGTGACATTCCCCCCATAATCCCATTCTTCATCATGAGCCACAGTTAGTAGCTGTGCAGCTCTACTTGAAGACTTTTTATTTTACAGAGTTTACAAAGCACTTTCACATACTTCATCTCATTGAAACCTCACAACAGCAGTATTCAATTATAAATGTGAGATTGGGGAAATTGTTTTCCAGTGAACTTTAATAACCTTCTCACAAAAGGGAGCTACCATAACTGACTACCTTCTATTCACATTTTTGCAAACCCCGGCCAGGATTGATTCCCTGTGACCTTTCATGCTCAATTCATATAGCAAAGAGCAGACTGGGCTGTGGAGAACAGAATCAATCCAAAATCTGCTAAGCATTTTGGTTCCATCAGCTACAGCCTCAGCTAAACATAAAGCAGTTGCATAGGTAACAGATTAAGATGGAGCAGTCTTCCAAAACCCTATAAAGGATTCTTCAAGATCACTAACCAAGAAAAATGTGGGACTAGCCAGTGTACACTGTGGTATAAAATTGAGTTCAAATTAGGGCAAATCGTGGTATCTCCTCTCAAAGAGTGGGAAGAGATAGTCTTAAGAACAATTACCAATTACCACTGGAGATAAAGTAGCAGCTCTCAAATTAATGGAATAAAACAAGTCCCCCCAGGCTAATAGCATAGTCTTGGGGTTAGTGCCTAATTAGTGGGCTCTTTGTTCTAATAGATCTTTTAGATAAGATCTTGAAATCAAGTCTGGATTAGGAGGGGAGGATGTTGGAGAGCATGGAGTTTTGGGTGAATCTGGTTACCATATTTTTAAACTAGGTTAGTGGAAAGATAAGGACCTTGATTTCCGAGTGCCAAATCAACATTATCTCATGAATTATTTTGTATGTAAAGGAGCTGTTTATCTTGGCCTGGGAAGTTACTTCAGTGAACCCATTATGAGGACCAAGTACTAACCACAGTTGAATTTCCTTCCAAGAACAAACTGAAGGATAATTAATATTTTTCAGTCTTCATCCATTTTCCATATCATGACCAAAGATGTTTGCTAGCTCAACTGGTCATCATCATTATAGCAGCTTTAACACTTGATGCTTATATGCATCTCTTAAACTCTCTGGTTTCTACCTGAAGCAGGAGGAGGTGGTGACTGAAGTGAATTTCCAGGGAAACAAAAGGCAGGGACAAGTCTCTGAGCTCCCCAGCCCCTGCGCACATGCGGAGTGACTTGAAGGACAGTGACCTAGCTTAGAATGTTGTCATGGCCCTGATGGTGACTCATGTCCTCACAAAACAAACAGCGTCTCTCTAACCCTTCACAGCTGATGCCAGGCCTCCGCCTCAGCCGGGCCTGCAGTCGGCTTGCGGGCTGGGATGATGAGAGGGGCAGCCAGTCTGAGACAGAAAAGGACATTCAGGGAATTTTAAGTGGTTTGGATCAGCCATTGTCATGTACAATTGATGTTCATTTATATTTCACTAGCCAAAATCTAATTTTGCCCAAAATTGGGAAAGAAATATTTCAAATACTAATCAGGCCCCATCCTGCTTTAATGTAAAAAATGAGCTGTCCTACCTTTTTTCAATCGTCTCAGAAGGGAGATTTAATATTTCCTGACAGTGCTTTAAATATTTTGCTGTTCAGACTTCAATGAATCCACAATAATTATATCAGTTAAACCAGCTTAGTTTTTCCAAAGCTATATCAAGCTTAGGGTACTTCTGAACTTATTATCATGGCATCCATCCTTTGATATTAGATTTAGTATAGAAAGGGCCAATACTCAGATGGCCTTTTATTCTAATTTGCCTATTAGTTTAGCTAATTTAACTAATTTACCTATTAGTTGCGTTTGCTTTTTGCTTTTTGTTTGAATCTATAGACTCAGTGTTCTACAATTTCCCGGCCTCCTCCTTCCCAGGAAGTTTAATTGCACAGAATCTAGGAGCCATATGTTATTCCCAGCGGAAAGTTTCAAGAAAGGCCCAGTGGTTTTTAATTCCCAGAAGATCAAGCAATGAAGACTTCAATACATTATCATTAAGAACTGACTTAGCATTTAGTGTCTAAATGTTAAGCCTTTTTGAGGAGCTTTTATTCTGTCATTTCTATTAAGGGGTTAAGAATCATCTCTGTTTCACAGATGGAGAAAGTCTGAGTTATCAATTTACCATTGTTTTGGGGAAGGGGAGAAGTACCAGCATATTTAGGTGGGAATTAATTCTGCCCATCCCTCAACTCTCCCTCAAGAAATCCAGCAATTTCATCATGGCTTTGGCTTCAATCAGCGCGCTCATTCTCGCTGAACAGCCCTCTCCAGTAAAATGAGATCTCAATCTGCTGTACCGGCAATCTCCAGCTCTCACCTCTACAATGACTGAACAAACAAAAGGGCGCAGCTGAGAACTATTTTCCTTCAAAGGAGCAGCCAAAGAATACTAGACACAATTACATAAACCCATAAAACAAGAATAGGACTAAGAAGACGCCCTCTGTGTGAATGGGGCAACAAGCCTACCCTTCTGCAGAAGCATGGGAATGGTAGATACAGACTCTGTATTTCTTCTGATGACCACCAAATCCCCGGGGCAGAATGTCTTAGCTTCTTTGAAAGTACAAACAATACCAGGACAAACCAATGATCTCATTTGGGAACTCTTTCATTGTTTTCCCACAATTTCCTGTGTAAAAATAAATTGAAGCCATAGAGTGAATGCTTATTAATAAAAAAAAAGAGAAATTATCAAAGAGGTGAACATAAGTAGTTATGAAATCAGAGCAGGCCTGCAAACTACAGACAATGCAGGGTTAAAAGAGAGGCAAGATGATAACAAACAAGGTTTGCTTTGAACTTCTCAGTCAATACTTATGTTTTAATTTCCTAATACCCACCCATTTGTTATTTTACATTTGACTACCTCTTATAAATCCAAACTTCTGTTATTTGATGCTCTTTTTTTAAATCCTGCCTTACCATTTACATGATGCTCCAAGATAAATTTCAGCAACTAAATTTGCTATTTTCACTCTAAGTAGGAAAACTTTTAATGATGTTAATAGACTAACTTAGGGAAAGTTACCTCTTAAGGCAACAGGTGTAGATTGTAAGATTAATGCCAAGTTGAGATGCTATAGTAAGACTTTCGATTTGGGGACTCAAAGAATGCAAGTCTAGTTCTGATTTCGCCCTTTATTAATAATTACGTGGACTACTTAGTAGAATGTCTGCAATTTAAACTTACCCCTCTACTTTATAGGAAATATAAAGTTATATGTATGTCAGTTAGCTTAAGCTACCCATCAGGTCATTTGCCCTGACCAAAAATTCACAGGCTAGGTGTCATCTGCTAGTCTGCTAATTAGAAATCCTCCCCTCCAGAGGGGCTTCCCAGCAAGGACTCAGCTATCTTAATCTTCCAAAACACCAGCAGAGTTTTCTTAGTTAGCAGAACAAATGTTAAAAATGAGTTTTCATTGGTAAAATTAATGACTTGCCAGTTAGCATTAGGGATGTTAGAAATGGGTTTTAATGGATGCAAATCATGATATTACAGTCATTTAGATTGTGTAAAATATTCTAGAGACTCTCTCCCTGCTTATATAAGCAGAATAAGAATCTACAAAACCCTCTGGCCTGTACCCTTAAGGTATTGTTTTCTACATTGTCCTGTGTCTGGCCTTGACAAAGACTTTTGGTAACTTGCCCAAGAGAAATGGCAAATTCATGATTTAAATCCAGATTAACTTGATTAATAGCAATAATAGTGATAGTCAACATTGGTCAAATGCTTGCCATGTATCAGATATTCCTTGAGGTGTTTTATATGCATTGACTCATTTCTTCCTCACAGAAACTCTCTGAAAAATGTGTTTTATTGTCATTTATCAAATGAAGAAACCAAAGCTTAAAAAAATTAAGGAACTTGCTTAGAATCACATAAGTAAAGCTCAAGTTTAATCAGTTCTGTGTGAATCCTTAGTATCCTTGTTGTAGTCACAAGGACATATCTATCACAGAAGATGAGTATCATTCATTGCCTATCCAATAACCATTCTCCCTTCTTTACTCACCAAATCTTCATTTTATTAAGGGCAGCATTAATCTCAGTTAAAATCTCTCCCAAAGACTTCTTAGCCTCTACAGGGTGGCCATATGACACAAGTCTGGCCAATGATGGTAAATAAACACAGTCTTTTGATTAGGACTTCTGGAAAAGCTACTATTTAGACAGCTTATGCTTGCTTTGGCAGCACATAAATGAAAATTGGACTGATACCGAGGAGACTAATGTGGCCTTTGTGCAAGGATAACGTGCATATTTGTGAAGCCTTCCATACTTTGCAGTTTCCAGAGGTCATTTGACACTTCATTGGTTAATGCCAAGGAAACATGAGTCAAAGCACATGTGGCATCTGATGGTGAAACTGTGACTTTCCCTACAAAAGAGAGAGAGAGAGGGGAGCTCAAGTGGTTCATGCATTTGCCCCTTATCCATTTCTCTCCTTCCAGCCTAGAATGCAGTTGTGATGTCCAGTGGGGCAGCAGCCATCTTATGATCATGAAGATTATAGTCTCGGAGTAAGGATGGGTCAGTGGAAGGATGAGCAATAGCCTTATTGCTAAGCTCCTGATGGTATTGTGGAGTCTCCATTACCAGCCTATGCTTGCTTATCTCAGAACTTGTGATGATTTATGAAAAATAAACCCCTATTTAGTAAGCTGCTATAGTTATGCTGTTGTTCTTATTATGTGAAGCTGAAAATAACACCTACTGATAGAGGTGGCCATGCTATTCTCCCTTCCAATCAGGTTTATTCTTATCTTACTACCAAAGTCACCTGCAACACAAAGCATATCACTGTCATTGTCCCAGCTTCAACTGTATGGGTGACAAAGGTGTGAAGTTAATTTGTCTGGGATGAGTGGACTTATGGCTCTGGTACCTTGCACTAAGGGAGGCCTCAGGGTAGTAAGGTGACATTGTACAAAGAACACAGGATTTGGCAAATTTAACATTTATGACAATTTTTACTCACCCGCCCTGCTCCTCAGCTTCCTTGCTTTTAAAATGAAGACTATACTGTCTACTTTAAATATTTACTGGGAGGTGTGTGAAATGTCTAGCTCCCGTGGTACATATGTGTATATTTATCTTATTATGAATTCCCCTCTCTCACCTGTACACATGGAATAAGTCATCTCATGCTCTCCTACTTCTCTCTCCCTTGAGTCCCTCCGTCTAATTCCAGTTTATGGAAAACATCTGCCTGCCCCCACAGTTTTGCCTTGGTTTTCATTTTATCCATGTTCTGTGTGGTTTAAATAAAGTTGGGAGAAAAGGAATGGAGAAATGCAGAAGACTCATACAGTATGGCCAAGGTATGGATAAATCTGCTAGGCAGAAGAAAAGCTACAAGAAGGGAGCCGGCAAAGATTCCCTTCCATTTCCCCGTGTGACACAGGAGAGCCGAGCTGGTGACCACATCTTCAGGTTCACATGATATCACTGAATATCTCTAGTTTAGTTAGGGCTTTCCTGAGAGTGATCTTCAGAGATGTGTTCTTGGAATGAATAGAATAATCATCTATAGCATGTATTTATAATACACACATACATACATGCCACATACATATTTATATATAACATTAGTCTGTTACCATGGAAACTGTTACAGCACTAACAAATTAAGCATTGTGACTCCACTGTAATAAGAATAAAGAAATTCAAATGAAATACCAAGCATTTGTTTAAGCACAAATAGCTTTAGTAATTAAATACACAGAGACAATACAGAAAACCACAAAATAATATTTAGAAGCCTTCGCTGGTATGAAAATCAGCTTCGATGTTGTTTCCCCTCTCCATTGCATTACATTACACATCTTTATAAATTAAGTTTGGCACTGGATTAACAAGAATAATCTGCTGCACCAGAGCCCTCGCACAATGAAAAGCTCAGGTCTCATCCTAAAGAGTTATACCTTCCACAGTCAGCGAGAAAGATTTTATGGCTCTTTTTATTCATCAAAAAGAGGACTTTTTAGAAAGAAAGCTCAAATGTGAAGTTGGTCTTACCTCCCGTTTCATTCAAACAACACACAGAACTACCCCTGGGGTTTTGAATATATTAACATCCTTTCACAACGAACCCTAATGGGACAAGTGTAGCATTTTTTTCCAAGCAGATATATTCAAAGCTGAAAAATACATAGTGTTTAAATAGATCTCATTATATCAGCTACACCAAATCTCTCCTCTTTATATACAGAGGATTGTACCTCTTTTCACTGTCATGCAACATTAAAATAGGAAGGCATACACAAGAATGACATGGATTTGACAAAAAATTAATGATTT